TCAAGAGCTAAATGAAATAAATACGCTATGGTTCCAATCACAGATCAACAGATGTCAAAGAAAACAAAGAAGACTCTGACAATAAACACCCTTCTATGAATGATATTTAATTTGTAGACCGAACTATAGCCAATTTGGTCTAAGTTTCAAAACTAGCTAACTCATGTCATAAAGACACTTCATAAAAGTATTTTTTTTTACTTCTACATGTTTTTCGATCGGTTATAATATACTGCTATAGTAGATTACACTATCAAAAAAAGAAAGATTAAAAATCCTAGCTCTTGAATAGTTTAAAACAATTTTTAAGTTCACTTTGTAGCCACCTGGCGAATGATTTATTATTGTCCTCGTCATGGACTTCTATATTTAATCTCAAGTCGATCTTGGACACTTGTTCTTATCTTATCTATAGGTAGTCATTCTGTCAAATATGTGGCTATTAGAAATCCTTTAACCGAAGAGCGGGTACAAGTAATTTTTCAGAATTTACAAACTGAAGTTTTTACACACTTGAACCTTGCACTATAAAATCTTCACTTTACTCTCTTAATGAACACAATGACATTGAAGATAATGCAAATTTTAGCTACTTATATGCCGAGGCTTGCATTATCTATATATTTTTGATTTTAATTTTTCTGTATAAATAAAACATATATAAAGTCAAAAGTTAATAGAGATAAAAAGGTGTAATAGGTAAATCATAACAACCCTGTAATTTAGAATTTTTAACTGTAGAATTGAAGTAGCAAAAAGCATTTTACTTTAAAATAATGTGTGGTGATTCCTGCTGTACAAATAATTCAGTTAATTTTGGATGTATGGTGAAGAGTAAGCAATGTGACATATAAATGGGTTCCTAGATAGTGACTCAAGCTCTAAATTAAGGGATTCTTCTTTAGCGATCTTTATAATACTGAATAAAAATGATTGTTTTTTGTTTGGGCGGACTGACGTGTCCAAAACTGGATCCTATCTCTTTAAAGCTTATTCCCAGCCATCAGATAGATTTGTTTAAAGGATTGTGGAGGAAAGCTAAATATCTCCAAAGTATCTCAATTAACGAAAGGGAAAGATTATTCTCAAAAGTTACAGTTCAAAATATAGTCTTAATCTTCACTTCTGTTGATCGTAAACTGAACCTGCCTCCTGGAAACCCAAAAAGACGGATTATTTTGGGATTAAAGCTTACATTCGGAACCGGCTGCTGCTGCTGCTGCTGATGGCCTGTCTGCAGGCTTGAGAAGTTCCGGATCAGAGGGGGCTGGATCTGGCGGATCGGGGGGCTCTTCAGCAGTCCCTGGGTTTGACAGCCCCCGAAAAAGCTGTCCGCGTAGACATTCTCGTACGGCACGGCTGCCCGGCTATTTTGTGCTATTTGGTCGCGGGGAATGGAATGTGCAATGCAGAAAAACGATTATAAATAAACGGGAGCGGGACGAAATCGGGGAGCAATTACCACCAAAGGACAGGCCCACGGCTAGAGTTGCGGCTGTTCGTCCGGCGAAGGGCAGGCTCATCGATTTTCTCGCCGCCGTTGCGTAAAATGCAGTACGAAAAAAGTGCGCAGCCATGGCGGAAAATTACACGGAAATTGCAGAACGGGGACTACTTTCTCAGCGATTACTTTCACAAAAGCGCTTTGGCCACAGACTGAAAAATTATTTGCAATGGTTTTTCTCATTTGCGTTCTGCACACACACACACACCCGCGCTTACACGCACGGGACACTCACACCAACACAGGCCAATGCACACAAATTGCACTTTGTACCCACTGCAGACGAGTCTCAATTTTTATTATTAAATTGATAAATTGAGATTCAGGTTCTAATTTGTCTCCCTTGCCTGTGCGTGTGACTGCGGGTGTGTGTGTGTGTGTGTGTGCGTGAGTGCGGGGTGTGTCTGTGTGGATATTGATGATTTTTTAATTGGTAACGAACTAAATCGATCGCCGTAACACTTACGCTAACGTCGTACTCCCGAGTTTCGATTTGTTTGCTAAATAATTTCAATTCCGCCCCCGACCACAAACCGCAAACAGACCGTTTGATTGTCTCTATGGCGACGAAAAATAATTTCTGCCAGTCGGTATTTATTCACCCGTTTTGGTATTTTTCAACAGTGAAAGAAATTTGTATGTGATTTTGTTAACGTTTTTTTTTCTTCTTTTTGGAGCAATGTTAATGATTTTATTGCTACACATTTATTTGTTAACAGTAGTTGTAGAATGTATTTTACTTCTTGTTTGTGTACATTTTAAGACATATTAAAAGAGTTTTTAAATATAAATATGTAATATGTAAAATAAATAAATAAAAAACAAAAGGCTGCAATTAGATTTTGTAATTTACCAAACAAAAAAAAATTATTTTGTGTATTCTTAAAACTAATAAGAAAATAAAAAAACTTGATCTTCTAGGTATATTGACTGACATATAGACCAAGATCTATTGGTTTGATTACAATAAAATTACAATTATTAGCTTAAAAATTTATATAAGTTACCATAACGTAAGTCTCTTGTGTAAATAAATATATAATACTTAAATAAATAAAAACAAACAGGAGTGTAAAAGGGTTTTTGATTTAATTTCTATTGAAAACCAATTATTAACTGAAGAATCACATAAAATGAAATCTTAATAAAACTTCCCGAGAGAAACTTCTATTTTAAGTGCACTATTTTTTTTTAAACAAATGTATGAAACAGTATATTTCGGCTAAGCACCTACGGTCACACCGAATCTTTGAGCAGGGCAGAAAACGTAAACACCGTCAAATGGAGCACGCGGTGGCTGCTTCTGGAGAGGATTCGTCGCCAGAGGAGATCAAATGCAGTCCACAACTCAAGCCCACGTCCAATACGGCCATAAAGTGCCTGAAGTGCGACAAGGTGTACATATTTCCCGCCGACAAAGATGACTGCCTGGCGCACTTGTATTTGGATCACCGTCTGGTCATAGCCGATGTGGAAGATATAGCGCTTTTGGAGGACTATCTGCAGTACTGGGGCAAGGAGTTTCAGGGTAGGAGGATGACCTTTTCCCTAAAGTAAACTTTTAATTGTTGTACCCCAAACGTAGCACATGAATTTGAACAATATTGCACCACTATGTTTCTGGATCAGCTCCCAGATGGGAAATATGCCAAGAACGAGAAGTACTATCTTCTGTGTGATATCCTGCCCCAGGACTACGAGCTGCGACAAAGGTTAAAGGAGAAGCGTTTGAGTGAAGCCCTCAAGCGGCATCAGTTCGAGCTCACAGACAGAAATTTCTCCAAGGAGTGCCTGTTCTGCAGGACCATAATCAAGGGACTGAGAGCAGACTACCTGGACCACCTGTTCGACAAGCACTTCCTGCTGGTGGGCAAGCCCGAGAAGCTGGTGTACGTGGACGAGCTGCTGGATCACCTAGAGGAGAACCTGAACCGCTTAGTGTGCCTCTACTGCGAAAAGATTTTTAGGGATCGGCCCACGCTCAAGGAGCACATGCGCAAGAAGGGTCACAAGCGGATCAACCCGAACAGAAGGGAGTACGACAAGTACTTCCTTATCAACTATAATCGTGGTCCAGCGGTTCCAACGCCCCGGAAACAGCACCACCAAAAGCGAAGACGTGAAACCGCATCCGTGTCCACATGCGCTGATCAGGAAACCGGCAGCGTGGACTTTGACAAGCACTTTGCCCGTCCGGATTCGGATGGCGAACACGATTCGGACTGGTCGGATTGGGCGGCGGATGGTGAACCGAGTGCTATCAAGTGCCTGTTTTGCGGTCATCTCGGGGACAACTTTGTCGCCCTCAAGGAGCACATGAGTTGGGTCCATCGTTTGGATTTTGACAAGGCCACCTGCTCCCTGAACTTCTACCAACGGGTGAAAGTGGTCAACTACCTGCGCCGGCAAATGTGCATGCTGCGCTGCGTTACCTGTGACCTCCAGTTCGACGAGCAGGAGTTGCTGGTGGAGCACATGGCCCAGGAGTCGCATTGCGGGGTCGGAAGCAAAGTGAACTGGGACAAACCGGAGTTCTTCTTTCCTTACATGGAGAATGACGGACTGCTGTGCGTGCTGGACGACTCCGCAGACGATGATCCGGAAGCCGATGTGGTGCGCATCATCTCCGAGGACAGTCTAGCTCAGATCAACAAGGATGCGGAGCGATTGTCTCTCGAGAATTTTAAGCTGTAAAGTGCTGAAACTATTTGCTTTGGAACAATTATTTAAATATATATATATAACTACTCGATTTGTTTTTTATTCATTAAATTTTAAAGCATTAAAGCTTCAACTTTTTGGAACTCCTGGGCTTTGTGATAAGATGTCCTTAAGAATCCAAATTAGAGATAAAAAAAAAAAATTTAACGATTTTTTTGTGCCCCAACAATGTTGACAATTCAGAAACAATTTTTTTTTGTTTCGTACCTTCTCAAATGTTCTCAAAGAAATCTATTGCAATTTTTTTTAACGAGTTGATTTGTGATTCATTTCTTTTCAATTCTCATATTTGTTTTAATTCTTAATTGTTAATTTAATTATTTAATAATGATAACAATAATAAGTGAAAAATGATTCTATTTGGTTTTGTACCTTTTTGAGTTCTCAACGAAATCTATGGAAAATTTTTTTAACGAGTTTATGTGAGATTAATTTTCTTAAGTTTATTTAATTATCATATTTTGTTGTTTTTGATACAAGTGGTTATATAACATTATTTTTAATATAATTGTAATTACTTTCTTGAATATTGGGAAGAGATGTCGTAGATATGTCTAAATGTTGTTGAATCGGAATAATCTCTAATTTCTCAGAGTGTTCATTCGATAAATACGTTATTTATTTGTTCTATTTGTAATACAATTTAAAGAATATTTTATTTTCATGAAATAGACCACTTAAGGGTTAATAACCCGTGTGTACACACCAAATGGGCAAATAAAAACATCGATGTTGAAGCCCTGGCCCCATGCGATGCGATAGTATCGAATAAACATCGATATTTGACCCAGCTCTACAGACTGACATCATTCCCGCACACAAAACACCTAAATAAAGAGAAATCGAGCGAAAATGGAGGCCCTGGACATTCTGGAGAAGCGCATCGATGCTCTGACGCGAGTCCTGGGTCCCGTACAGGATTCGGAGGCGGGAGAGGGCGTGGTGGACGCCCTGTGCTCGGCACACGCCCTCCTGGGCGAAGCCACTACGGGCAGTGCTCCACTGCAGCAGTGTGTGAAGCGATCCGGCGAACTGGAGAAGTACCTGGACCCCAACTTCCTGGAGGAGCAGCAGCAGGTGCGCTCCAAGGAGGTCTACCTGCACGCCGTGGCCCCCGAGCTGCACACCCAGGCCGAGCAGCTGGAGAGGATCAGGCAGCTGGAACCCGCTCTGGGGGCGGAGTACTTCCGCAGCATTCCCGCCGAGTGCCTGGACCAGCTGAAGGGCATCACCCAGAACAACGGGGAGTACGCCCAGCAGAGCGAACTCATCGAGGAGAGTCTGGTCTTGGCCATGAAGCGGTACGGCGAAATCCAGGCGGGATTACTCAGCTCCCTGGATGCGATGAGCGACCGGCTGGACCAGGTGGAGGAGCGCATGGAGCAGCGGAAGCGGGCGGAGCTCAGCAAGGATGTGCCGCCCAAGGATTGAGCGACTATAGCTCCAAAGACTGCTGAAAGTATTTTATACGACCCTGTTCCCGAATCCATTCCTAGTCAGTTTTGGCTTTTTGCTCAATTCAGTTTCCAAAGAAAAGTCTTGGATCAATTTCATATAAGCTCGATGTGAAAACTGAAATAGAAGCCATTCGTAAGCAAACTTGATTGGAATTGGAAATGGAATCCGGGATTTTAGATTTCCTAATCACTTTTTATAGAGAAGTGACTAATGATGCTCTTTCAATTGTAAGTTTCCTTTTTAAAAATTATTTAATAATAGAACAATAAATTAAATTAACCAAATAAAACGGCTGAAAATAATTTACATATGTGATTTTGATTTCCAAACCATTTGAAAAGAATTGATAATAATTAATTGATAATAATTAATTTAAAATGTCACTGATCAAAACACTGATTTCTTTAATCGCTTTATAGTATGTCCGAAAACAATATGAAATTGAAACAGATCCTATTAAAAATTTTCCATTAAGTGAAGCATGTGGTATTTTTAAAAACATATTACAAAAGCTCTTAAAAAAAAACAAATTAATCCATAAAAGTTGAATATATAATATTTTTATTATTAAAAACACATACGATTATTGGCAAAATGTTTATTCCCTTAAATATGTATAAAATAAAATGACATTTATCTAGGAAATGTAGAAGGAAACACTTATGATAAAAAAGAAAGAACAATTTCTTTCATTCGTTATTTTTGCTAGCACAACAGACAACGTTACCAAATTAAAAATAGTCTAAGCACGGCTTGAATCCAACGAAAATCCTTTCTACTACAGTAAGAGGCACAGTCTTGACTTCTCTTCTTCCCGAGGGAGAAGTCCGGTGCTCCTAGAAACGGAGCTCGTTCCTTAGTATCCTCTCGTAAACGGATAAGGTGAGCGGAGCATAAACGCCATTCGGCTGGGCGTAGAATAGTTCGTCCTCTATGAGTTCCGGATTGAAGCCCTGCTGCTGGAGCTCCACTTTGCGCAGCTTGAAGGTGCCCGTCAGGTCGATTCTTCGCAGGAACCTCAGGAACTGCGGTCTCGCATAGTTGGGCAGGGTTTTGGTCAGTTCCTCGCCCAGCTGGCTAACCTTCACCTCGCGAGTGGGATCGTAAATGGCTGCCATTCCGGCTCTTCCCTCGGTGTTGGGCACGCTCACTCCGTACACAATCACATCCTTGTAGCCAGCCAGATTGCTTAGCTGCGCCTCCACCTCGCTGGTGGACACATTCTCACCCTTCCAGCGGAAGGTGTCGCCGGTGCGATCCTTGAAGTACAGATAGCCCCGCTCGTCGGCCACCAGCAGATCCCCCGAAATGAAGGCCATGTCGCCCTTGGAGAAGACATTGTGCACCACCTTCTTGGAGGAGGCCTTCTGGTCGACATAACCCAGGAACTCCCGGCATGGATTTCCCCTCACAATCTTTCCTATAAAGACGCCTGGCTCGTCGGCCTCACATCTCTCGCAGAGTCCTTTGCTGTTCCTCAAGGGCTCTCCCGTGTGGGGATCTGCTTTAATGATCGATATCGGGTAGATCTGCGGCAGTATGCGGGATACAAAGCCAATGGCTCCCACGGTGCTGTCATTGTTCATGATGTTGGCATTGCCCTCGGTGGCTCCGTAGAACTCGCCCACCTTCTTAATCCCGAATCGCTCCACGAACTGCGGCCAAATCTGTGGTCGCAGTCCGTTGCCAAACACCATGCGCACTTGGTGCTGTCGATCGTGAGGAGCCGATGGAGTGGCCAGAATATAACGAGCCATCTCACCAATGTACTGACCAACCTGTGAAATATATATTGTTAAAAGTTATACAAAATTTGGATTAACGAAAGGGTGGCAGATATTACCGTGCACTGGAAGCGAGCACAGTCCGAAAAGTACCCAGAGGCACTGAATTTCTTTCGTACGACCACTGTGGAACCAAAGAGCAAGGCCTGACCCATGCTCATCACTCCGCCAGCGGTGTGATACAAGGGCAACGGGGTGTAGAACACATCCTGATCCTTAAAACCAAGCGTATAGTGAATGCCGGCAGCTATGAAGAAGTATCTGAAAGGGAAGAGATCGTATTATGGGATAATACATATATAAATCATAAATAGAAGACCCCACCGAGAGTGCGTGATGACGGCTGCCTTAGGCAAACCCGTGGTGCCCGAAGTGTAGATGTAGACCAGCTTGTCATGATGATCCGCTCGAGAAGCACCAGCTGCCACTTTGTCCTTGGCAGCCGTCTCCAGGAGACCATTCAACTGCTGGGCCAATCCCTGGCTGAGACCCTCGGACGCCACAATTTCCTGGGTGGCCTCGTCGTTGAACTGATAGAGTCCCACATGGGCGGGCAGATCCTTGGCTATATCCATTACGGCTGATCGGAAACTGGCTCCGTAAATGAGAGCCGTGCACTGACCCACTGTGATGCTGTGCTGCAGGGATGCCCCTCGGAGGTTCGTGTTTATTAACGGCGTGATCACTCCGATCTTCGATAGGCCCAGCCAGGTGGCCACGAATTCCGCCCGGTTTTCCAGCAGCAGACCCACCACATCGCCCTTTTTATAGCCATGGCTGTGGAACACGTTGGCCACTCGGTTCGCGTGCTCATTCACCTGCCGGAATGTCCATTGCTGGGACTCACTCACAATGGCCAACTTGTCCGGATGCCGGGCCACGTTCGCCTCGAAGACGTCTCCGATGTTCAAGTTCTTGCGCTCATGCCGTTTGATGAACATTAAGACACGGATGTAGGCGAAGAGAGCACTGTAACGTATAATTTAATTAAATAAAATAAAAGTTGGATAATTTCAAGATTTAACTGGTACTTTATCTTATATAAACATATATAAGTATGTGTTATTGTGCGTTTTACTTACACAGTATCGCGGGGAGTGGTGACCGCTGCTATATAGAACCATCGCCATCCGGGACGGACTAGCAATGTTGCTATCAAGCTGGCATATAGGGTGGCCACTCCATACCAAGGTCCTTTGTAGTAAAGGATCATGCCAGAGACTGCTGTCAGGGCGGGAGTTAAGATCCATTGAAGATAACGCCGCCAATCGGACTTCTTCGGTTGTTTTAAAGTTTCCGGTGAATCTATGCTAATCGTGACCTACAAAATTGCACACAAATTTTATCCGTTAGATTAGATAGATAACAACAAATGTTCAGGTCCATTACTAATCGATCCTCTACATCACTCATACGCCGCGTAAGCCCTCTCGATACGGGTGTTAGATAATCAATAGAATAACCCCTCAGCCTGATCCATCCTAATGAAGTTTATTCAAAGCTTTTCCTGATATTCAGCTAATTGCTTGTTGTTTAATTTGCACTCTAGCGACAGCTGCCCCATAACTTATTCCGCATCAATCATTTAGCACTTTATTTAAACAATTTGCAAACAAATAAACCAAAACAGAGAAAAGCAAACACACAAAAAATATAGAGTGTTATGTGGGGATAAACAAGAGCTAGTGGCCAAATCGGTTGCCATTTCGGCCCGACGAGATCTCGCGGAAGTGCATCAAAGCCCTCTTCTCGGCATCGGAGGCCAATCGGTTCGACAATCGGATCAGAACACATATGATCAGTGCCGAGATCAGTCCCAGCATAAAGAAGACGATCTAATATATACGGGGGGGATATACATAGTACGCAGCACGAGTGGGGGACTCCCGATTACCTTGTGCCAAATCGTCAGTCGATGCTGGGTGGCGGTCAGACCGCCGTCTTCCACCAACGGCTCATTGTCGGTGCCCGTCATCATATTAGGCAAATGCAAATCTTTGCTCAGCTCGTTTGACCCTTGGCGCTTGAATGGTTCAGCCGTCTATCTGTTTGTTCGGCGATTTTTCTTATTTAACTGACAGTTGCTTCGGAGAAATATTGTAACATTGAATTTTTTAATGGTGTGACAACTTCATAAAAAAACAAACTGATCCGATTTTAAAGTGAATTTCCCAAATTTATGAGCATATATTTGTGTCTTACTTAAGCCGTTGGAAAGCAGCTATGTCTTAATAATTTTGGAACTCTTGGTCTTATACATATGTTCATATATTTGATTGTTAATAAACTTTTTAAACAATTAGAACTAGGGAGAATACCTGTTGCTTTTAAGTATGTATTAAGTACCTTTTCACACTCATACTATCGGATGGCTCGTTTTTGTCAATTGGGAATATTTAAAGAAAATTAAATCTTTATAGTGCTGTTAAAATTTTTCTTTTCATATCAAACTGTTAAAGAACTCATCCACCTTGTAATGAATTAAAACTTGCTCTTTTAATACATTTTCCTTTTCCAAGCGCACTTCGTTTCAATAGCCTCCATTAACTTCCACTCCGAGTTACCCTGATCTTGACTTTCAAACATTTTCAGACCAACTCAATAAAAAGATACACTTTAGGTTGCAATAATCTTTTAAATAAACCTGATTATATGCTTTATCCGAACAGATGACCGATCGCATAATACTCGAGACCCAGACCTAGTCCCGGTTAAAGTCAACAGGCCAAAAGTAAACTGGTTTTGGTTTTTTTCTGCGCTTTTCGTACTCTGACTCTGATGGCAACGTGAGTATTATTTTGTTGTCAGATAAGGTTTGGCTCGCTGACGAGGGGACGAGGGGCAGCGACCCAAACCCACCAAGTGAACACAACAAAGCGAATCAAGCGCGAAACGAACCGAAAATATGTATGTTGACCACATTCGTGCGAATGGATGAGTATATGTTATTTACCTGTGCGGGGTTCAAGGCCGTCGAACTTGGGGCGGCGGCTGCACCACCACCATCCGCAGTATCAGCACCACCTGTAGCAGCACTAGCACCACCATCAGCCGCAACGCCAGCGGTGCACATTTTATTTATTTCGAATTTAACAGCACATCTGCAGAGGCTGCGAACTGATGTCGATTAACAGCTCGGCTCGGTTTGGACTTCAATTAACTCCGTCGCTTTAGGTGGTTTTTATTGTGGTTACTTGATGGTTACACAAAGAAAAAATAGAACCAAATTTTATTAAGTTTTAAATATAAAAAAAATGTAATCCTAAAAAAAAAAATAAACTGTTGTTATATGAATTTTTAACTATTTGGGAGGTGAAGATGGGTATTTACATAGTGGTTTAAAAATTGTAATAAATAAAAGGTCCTTTTGGTATCAGGTCTTTAAACAATAAAATAAATAAATAAATCTTTAACCAATTGATGTTCAATTGGTATGTATTTTTAAATTTTAAGGTACAAATTCTTTTTCTAAGGCCCTATATATTTTAAAACTTTATTTTTGCTCAGTGGTATCTGATAAATCCCTTAAAACCAAATGACAAGTAATCAGATTATTTTAATTAATAGAAAATAAATTAAGTATTAATAACTGCGTAAGCATTGATTAAAAAGTGATGCACAAATTAAAGATTTTAATGGGGGAAGAAACTATTATTTTTTTCTGTGCACTTTTGAAGCGAAATGATGGGTAATTAGGCGACGTGCAGCAGTCGGAAGGGGCAGACAAAAGGCAAAAAGAGAAAAGGCGAAAAAGTTGAAGAAAAGCCAGAGATAACGATGTGGGGAATTTGCAATTGTAGTGCACAAGTGACACCAGCTGAAGAGATGGAGAAAAATTGCCTTTTTTGACACGGCTTGAAT